GCAGGAGGTAGATTATGGCATCCACCGAAAGGGAAAGAAAGTATGTATAAAATTTCAGTACCTACGGATGAACCACTGCCTTTTACAGGAACATATGATAAGGAAGGGGGTAGATGGGTTAATATAGGAAGAAAAAGTATTTCTTGGTATTCATTACAATTCATGGACAGACTTGCCAGATCTAGGCCACCTTGGTGCCTGCTTAGTAAGGAACAAAAGGAGAGCATACAGAGACAATTGAAGAATGTGTTTATTTCTTAGAAAGAAAGATGGGCTAATTATATACTTAGAAGAAATTCATGAGAGCTACAGGATTAGATTGGGATACTGATACTGCTTGGGGTTTGGGACAGTATAATGAACAGGGAAAAACAAAAAGCGGATATAAAGCAACAGTATTGTGAATCACCTAGAATTCAAATAGAAACACTAATGATTACAGAGCTAATATTGAAAGCACATATTGGTTTGAGGTCATCTCACTGCGTAACTACAGAATATAAACTTTGAAAGTCTCTAATGTGAACTCACCAAGATAAAAAACAGGAAACTTTCTGTTTAACATTAGCTGATGCTTGTTAAGACAATAGCATGCTTTGGCAATGTATTTTGATCGACTTGTGTTTCGCTTTTGCTTCTGAAATCAAAACTCTTAGAAAAGATTAACCGCAGAACAATAGTTTATGGATGTAATCATGTAATTCTGTAATATATAATCTGAGCCCTGCAGCTGCAAAAATACACTCAGACCTTCACCAAACTCCCGTGTGTTTGTTTGTCATTCGCCGAATCCTTGTCCACCCTTTCGGGGACCCTGCTCCCGTCGGACTGAACTGCTCCAGTCTGGGCTGGTCCGTCGCAAGTAACTAGTACAACACCCTTCAATCTATTAAGACTTAATGAACACAGCCAGGAGTGGTGGCACATGCCTGTAATCCCAGCACTGGGGAGACAGAGGCAGGCAGATCTCTGTGAGTACCAGGCTAGCTGGGGCTACAGGGAGTCCCTATCTCAAGTTTAAAAAAAAAAAAAAAAAAAGACTTAATGGACACAAAAACTGTATATGAATCATGTTTTGACTATCCAGTGCTTCTATACTTGAAAATAATTGGGAACAAAGAAAATAAATGGATAATTTTGGCAGTGAATATACTGTGTTATGTACACTAAGACCTCATTTTTTAAAAGTCTTTTGGTTTTATTCAGATCTATATATGTTCTCTCTCTCTCTCTCACATATATGTCACTGACAGACCAAAGAAGAGATGCCATCCAAGTCCAACTTGGTGGACCAACGAGTTTATTAAGGGTACTTACTAGAGGTCCCACCCCACATAGTTATTCTTGTATGATCTCTGGGAGAGGTGGGT